GTAAGTCGATAAGATTAACGTACACTATGCGTGGTGCATATTTAAACCTTACAGGATGTAGATAGATACGTAGAAGGAGCAAACAAAAGGGTTATGATTTTAATAGCGTAGAACATGATCTTTGTTCGATGGAACGTGTAAAGAGAAAATTATATTGAAAAGAAACAAGAAAAAGAAAAAGAAAAAGAAAAAAAAAGAAACGAAAATTAATAAGAACAAACGTATTATATGAATTTAATGGAAATAAAAGTAAAAAATAAAGAAAACTTTAACGTTTTCTCGTTTAAACCTTTTTAATATCGAAGCTCAAGGTTACGTCGATGGTAGGTGATTAAACTTTATAGGATGAGAAGGAGGCAAAGAAATTAAAGAAAAAGAAAAAAAAAACAAACAAACAATCCCGAAAGAAACTCATGTCATTGATAAACGCTTCGTCTATCTTTAATAATGATAAAAAGAAAATGATAAGTCCCGTCGGTGGGAAAAAAATGTCGTCGTCTTCGTCGTCGTCGTCGTCGTCGTCGTCGTCGTCGTCGTCGTCCTGTTCGTCGTGGTCTATCGCGTGTATGGGGTTTGTCCTTTCTATCGAAGGATATCTCTTCGTTTCACGTAGGCGACGCGTCGGAGACGTTCCGACCTGGACATCGTTATTGCTCGATGCTGAGGTCAGTCTACGTGACCGAGCGGATATTGCTTGGTACGACCACCAGCAGCACCGTGGTGGGCAACCACCATAAACCACCACCACCATTAACCGCCATGAACTCCACCACCGAGGCAATAACGCTTGTGTCTCGCAACTCCTCCTCGTCCTTTCCCTCGCTCCCTCTCTCTCTCTCTTTGTCTATATCTATCTCTATTTCTATCTCTATTTCTCTGCTTTACTTTGTCTTCCTTTTTCTCTTCTCCCTATTCTTTCTTGGTAACTCCACGTAGTCTTTATTAAATTTAGAAAAATCACGACGTGCCTTTTCGATATCATCGTGAACAACCATCCTCCCACGCACCTCTTGGCCCTCATCCCTGTACCTGACATTCCATCCACTCACTCTTTCAATTTTTCTCGTAATCGGCGAAAAGAGAACATTCTCTTGTTGTCGTTGTTGTTGTTTTTGTTTATTATTATTATTATTATTTTTTTTTTATTTCTTATTCTTTTTTGCTTGGTACAACAAATCCCGTTCTTTCCAGTTCATATACTTATCGAATTTAATTCCTCCCGAGACACACCATATCGAATTGTCGTCGCCGTCATCATCGTCCTGAAGTATATCGTAGACTTTCTCGACGTTTTTTCTTTTTCTTTGTTTTTCTTTTCTTTTTTTTTTTTTTTTTTTTTTTTTTTTTTTTTTTTTTTTTATTCTTTCTTTCTTCGGAAGCTATTGCTACAGTCACGGTTTTAACTTCGTCGTCTACCAGTGAATAAACGAGAACCGCTTGAATCCCATTCGTTAAGGCACAATATCGCTTAATTTCCGAAAGCACTACGCGCGAAAAGCCAGCGGGTGGCAATTCAATCGTGGCCCGCGGCGTTCTGTGAAAACGAACCTTAATTCGGATCTCTCTCTCTCTCTCTCTTTTTCCCTTTATCTGTTTATATCTATCTATCTATCTATCTATCTCTGACCCGTCTTCTTCATCCTATATTCACTCCTATACTCCTCTCTCTCTCTCTCTCTCTCTCTCTCTTTCTCTTCAATTTCTACGGATGAAAACAGGAAGAACGGTGCAACGACAACGACGACATGGAGAGGGATAGTGGGAAGGAGGAGGAGGAGGAGGAGGAGGAGGAGGAGGAGGAGGAGGAAGAGAAGGAGGGAGGATTAGCACGGTGTTGTTTACATTTCTCACCAAGTTTCCCTTTCTTTCTCTCTTTTTCTCTCTGTCTCGCTATCTCTCTTTTTCTTGCTTCTCTGTACCGTGAATTATAGTAAAATTAGTTTTGCTAGAAAATAGGAGTGAAAGGAGAAGAAGAGGGAGGTGAAGTTTCGCTCGATGATTCATGATAGCGTCCATCGACAAGGTACTCCTGTTGTGTGCATACACATTTCTTCCGAACGAAATGGTAATCATATTTCGTGATAGATAGATAGATAGATAGATAGATAGATAGATAGATAGATAGATAGATAGATAGATAGATAAATAGATAGATAGATAGGTAGGTAGGTAGGTAGGTAGATATGTACGTAGGTAGGTAGACAGGTACACGAACAATCCGTCGTTATTTATCGTAAAGACATTTATAAAAAGATCCTACGCGCGTACGATCTTTCATATCTCTCAAGGATATCTCGTTAAATTTGATTATTCTTTTAAGAATGTATTACGAAGAATAAAAACGTACAAACAAACAAACAATGAAAGTCGAGAGCAAATATTTTGAAATTATTATCCTCACATAATTGGGAGTTTGAAATTTAAATTAAGGATAAATATAATACATCGTATTATATTATTATTTGTTGGAACTATCGTTATAAATTATTTTATAGGGAAG